CACTGGGAAGACCCAGAGGGATCGGGTGGAGAGGGAGGTGGGAGGGGGGACTGGGATGGGGAATACATGTAAATCCATGGCTAATTCATTTCAATGTATAACAAAAGCTACTGTAATGGTGTAAAGTAATTAGCCTCCAACTAATAAAAATAAAATGAAAAAAAAATAAATAAAAAAAAAAAACAAAAACAAAACAGTTACCCAATTTGACTGATCATAACATAAATATCCAATTTTCCTAGGGCTCATGGATCAAATTTCTTAGGAAGGTGACATAGGCATTTTTTTTTTTAGGCATATATATTAAACAAGCTTTACATGATTCAAAATAACCTGATTCATAACATGGTCCTGGTGCACCTTTTCAATCACATGTTCTGTGCTGGTCATCAATACACTCTGTTCTGTAACCATATAGGTTTATCCAGCTTTGGACTTTTCAGACGATTTCATGAGTCATTATTTTTATCCTTAGAGTAGAATGACTTGTACCTCTATGTTCGTCTATGGACATGTCACTCCTCTTGGGACTTTTACTTTGGTTTATTGTTGTTCTTCAGTCTCTCAGTCCTGTCTGACTCTTTGTGACCCCATGGACTGCAGCACGCCAGGCTCCCCTGTCCTTTCCCATCTCCCGGAGCTTGCTGAAACTTATGTTCATTGAGTCAGTGATGTCATCCAACCATCTAGTCCTCTGTTGTCCAGTTCTCCTCCTGCCTTCAATCTTTCCCAGCATCAGGATCTTTTCCAGTGAGTAGGCTCTTTTCATCAAGTGGCCAAAATATTGGAGCTTCAGCTTCAGCATCAGTCCTTCCAATGAATATTCAGGACTAGTTTCCTTTAGGATTGACTGGTTTGATCTCCTTGCTGTCTAGCACCACAGTTCAAAAGCATCAATTCTTTAGTGCTCAGCCTTGTTTATGGTCCAGCTATCACATCCATACATGGCTACTGGAAAAATCATAGCTTTGACTATATGGACCTTTGTCAACAAAGTAATGTCTCTGCTTTTAATACATTGTCTAGATTTAATATGCTGTTATGCTGCCACTTTGGTTATCAGCTCCTTTATTACTGATTCCATAGTTTTCCTTTAGCCCATTTTTATTCTACCTTTTATTATTGTTGGATCACTCTATCACTTTCACAAACAGCTTGTGAGCTACTTAGGATTAAGACTTAGCCATCGTTGAATGGTCTATGGGTTTCTTGCAATTAACAGCCTTTGAATAAACATTTGTTGGATTCAAATGTCTTAAATTTTCTTCATATTAATTTGAGAATTTTGAGAGCAAAATAGGTGATGGCTTTTCTTAATTTCAAAATATGTAAGTCAGGACTCACACTGGAACATGATTAATGTTGACCTAAGTAAAATAGTAAAGCAAAACAAATAAAAATAAATTAGTAAAATATTTAGAGACAGATAAAGGAGTTTAAAGATGTTTGAAGCAGAATTAGGAAAAATGAAACTCTCATCAGGAAAATAATCTAGGACTTCCCTGGTGGTCTAGAGCAGGGGACACAGATTCAGTCCCTGGTCTGGTAAGATTGCACATTCTGGGTAATGATTAAGCCGTGTTCCACAACCACTGAGCCTGCTCTCTAGAGCCCACGAGTCACAACTACTGAGCCCATGTGCCACAACTACTGAAGCCCACACACCTAGAGCCTGTATTCTGAAACCAGAGAAGCCCTTACTTGCTGCAATGACAGAAAGCCCATACACAGCAACGAAGACCCCGTGCAGCCAAAAAAAAAAAAGAAAGAAAGAAAGAAAGAAAAAAAGAAAGACAAGATTGGGTGCATTCAGGGTGGTATGACCATAGATTGGAATTTACCTGCATTACCATAAATATTAGTAGATGACTATATGGTTTTACAGAAATGTATAATCTTAGATGTAAGAGGGAAATGATGGAAAAGTGAGACTTTTTGTTGTTTTGGAAATAACTTACAATAAATACTGGTTTCAGCTGAAAGACACATCTAATGGAATTTCAAGTTTTAGTTGACTTACCATGTAAACTAGCAAGTACCACACATTGTGTCAACTAGGTCATGTCATTTAATCTCAGAGTTTCATTTCCTTGTTAATGTAATGTAAACATTGTGCTACATGTATGTTTCTCAATCTTGCCTTGTTTTAAGAATCACTTAGAGAATATGATTTAATAGGTCTGAAGGAGGGGACAGGTGTGTTTTATATAGGCAACTATAACTGTAATTTTCAATAGGCAACTCTAAAATACTTTATTTCATGGAACTCTAAGAATCAAACTTTGTATTGCATAGTTAACTTCTCAGACTCTATAAAGTAGAAAACATGGAAGCAAAATTTATTCTGTCACATACCTGTTAATAACCTACTTCTTCAATGAATGGGTCTAGGCAATCTTTGGAGTCAAAGTATTTTATTTAAGGGAAAAAAGCACAACTTCTCCTCTGAAAAGATTAACAATTTACAGGGTTAAAAGAAAGATTTATCCACAAATAACTCTGCTTTAAGACATATTGCAACATCCACTGTGATAGATTGATAAACGTGAAAGAGGTAGGGGAGCAGTGGGTGCCAACTGTGAGGGCCCCAGAGGAGGGTGCATTTAAGCTGGGACTTCGAAAGCAGGTGATTTTTCAGTTAAGTAAAACTGAACTGCTCTTCCTCTATCCACTGGTTTTTGTAAAACATAACTCATGTGCCTTATTCATAACCTTTTCACAAACATCACACTCAGAAACCTCTTATAAATTGTTGTACCTAACATTATTCATTATTTTTTTTTCCATTTTTATTGATACGATTAACATACAGAACTGCGTAAGATTGATGTATACAGCATGATGATTTGACTTACATATAGTGAAATGATTACCACAATAAGCTTAGTGAACATCCATCATCTTGAGCCTTGGTAGGGAGGCCAGAGGTCCCCAAGCAGTAGGAGGAAATAAAACTGCAAGTGGCAGACATTTTTTTTTTTCTTCTTTTCTCTTCTAACCCTGTAACCCTGTTGTCATGACAACACCTGGTTCACACTGAACTTAACTTTATCTCAAACCTTGAGCTAACCAATGCGTTTTTCTTATGGAAATGTTTTCTTAAGTTATGCCAATGAGCTATGTATTTGCTTGGAGATGTGCCTTACTTCAAGACTCATGTCAATTGTTTTATGGCCGGGGATGACACACCTTGTACCAATGCTATCTTAAAATACATGTTGTGGGTGAGGGGCCTGGTGCAACTCTGTTTTGAAGCATTTCTTTTCTCTAATGAGCAGTTTGCTAAGCCTGGCATGTTGCAATCCATGGGGTTGCAAAGAGTTGAACAGGACTGAGTGACTGGACTGAGCTGAATTGAACTGAACAGGTAAATAACTTCTTGCTAAAAACTACCTAGGGGACACTCTTTCTGTCCCCTTCTGATGTCTATGTCAGAAGCTTTCTCTATTTCTTTATACTTTAATAAACCTTTATTACACAAAAAGCTCTGTACTATCAAGCCTTGTCAATAGCCCTGGAGAGAATTCCTCTCCTCCAGAGGCCAAGAATCCTCCTGTCATTCATGGCTCATAGCAGTAACCTTTCAATCTCATATAGATACAAAATTAAAGAAATAGAAAAAAAATGTTTCCTTGGCATGAGAACTCAGGGTTTACTCTTGTAACCACTTTCATATATGACACTGCTGTTGTTGTTGTTCAGTCTCTAAGCTGTTTTCAACTCTTTGTGACATTACAGGCTTCCTGCCCTTCACTATTTCTAGGAGTTTGCTCAAATTCATGTCCATTGAGTCGATGATGCCATCCAATCATCTCATTTTCCACAATTCTCTTCTCCTTTTGCCTTCAATTTTCCCAGCATCAGGGTCATTTGCAGTGAGCCAACACTTCCCTTGAGGTGACCAAAGTATTGGAGCTTCAGCGTCAGCATTAGTCCTTCCAATGAATATTCAGGACTGATTTCCTTTAAGATGGACTGGTTGGATCTCCTTGCAGCCCAAGAGTATTCTCCAGCACAACTGTTCAAAAGTATCAATTCTTCCACACTCAGCTTTCTTTATGGTCCAAATCTCACATCCATACATGACTACCTGAAAAACCACAGCTTTGACTAGATGGACCTTTGTTAGCAAAGTAATGTCTCTGCTTTTTAATATGTGGTCTAGGGTTATAAAAATTCTCCTTCCAAGGAACAGGCCTCTTTAAATTTCCTGTCTGCAATCACTGTCTGCAGTGATTTTGAAGCCCAAGAAAATAAAATCGTCACTGTTACCACTTTTTTCGCTTCTATTTGCCATAAAGTGATGGGATTGTATGCCATTATCTTAGCTTTTTGAATCTTGAGTTTTAAGCCAGCTTTTTCACTCTCCTCTTTCACCCTCATCTAGAAGCTCTTTAGTTCCTCTTCATTTTCTGCGCTGACTCAATGATTGCACTGACTCTCTCACTGAACTCAGGTATCATCTGCATACCTGAAGTTGTTGCTGTTTTTCCCGGTAATCTTGATTCCAGCTTATGAATCATCCAGCATTTTCCATAACATAATGTGCATAGAAGTTAAATAAACAGGGTGACAATATACAGCCTTGAGGTACTCCTTTCCTGATTTTGAGCCAGTCTA